ATCCCGAGAAAACAAGACGTTCGGCGTTCACGCTCAGATCCAGCGTCTCCTGTCGCTTTCGACATGAAACGAGAGAAGCCCTGAGTCATATTGTGGCATGTTTTACTCTGTTTTATCTTCCTGCTGTACAGATTAGATCAGTATTTGTGCAACGGTTGGTTTTTTATGCAAGTATTTCCAAAGAATACCGAGGCAAACCCAGTTAGTCAAGGAATAGTTTCAAAACAGCGTGGCGTAACTCGCTTCCTGTTGCATAAGCCTCTGTAACTTAAGGAGATGTTGCTTATGACCTGTGACTTAAAGTAAAAAAGAATTTAAAAAACAGCATTGGCTGTTAATTAAAAATGAAAATGAAGACTGTGACACTGTCCGCCTTTCCATAACTCCAGAGATTAGCTGGATGCATTGTGTGATGTCACACCGCTTTCAGTAACCGCCATTTGAGTAGCTCTCACGTCGTCAACATGTTGCGCTAATCTTAAACGCACATCCAATATATAAAAGAAAAAGGGGCACAGTGCTTTACTACTAATTGTCAAAACTATGACAACTAGATGATAAGGACAGGAAAAAGTTTTAATTTAAAAGAAAAAAATTGCGAGGGAGACAAAAGTAGGTGAGTTATGCTAGCATGACTTTGACTACCTTACATGTAGGTGTGCTGCAGAATTTTCGGCTCAGTTAAATCACAAAATAGAAGCCGACCCCAAATACCAACTCTCCACAGGCAATCCATGACAGTGTTTAATTAGCTGATCAACCACTGCTGTGTTCAGACAATCACTTTTTAAGAATCACAAAGCAAACATCAGGCTTGGAGACATAATATTGTAACGGACTGAATATTTTTTTTCTCTGAGAGGGTTTTTTGCGTGTTTTTTGCCGTTGACTCCTGATACACTGGTGGAGCTGTTGTCTGCCAGTCGCTATGGCAACAGGCTGTGTGTAGTGCAGCCAATAGGGAGCGAGAAAAAGACACATAGGGTTTTGAATTGTTCTTCAACACAGAAGCGCTGCAATTTGTTCGGACGGTGCTGAAACAACTGATAACGTCGACACCACACCCACAGCGCAAGCTATCAATAGCCTCTGGGAAATGGTAAATGTTTGACCATGGTTAGTAGAAACACTGACATTAGAACAAGAAAGAGATGTTTGTTGAATTTGTGGCAAAATTGGCGAAAATGCCCAATAAATACCTTCATGTAGCATAAGGATTAAAATCCTGTTTTGTACTCGTAAGTCCCACATTGTCTTGCGAGGTTTAGGCATCATTACACATCTAGTTGGCAATTTCTGGCAACTTTCATAGCGTCAAACTGTTGCATTGCATGTCAAGGCCAAACGTTGGCGACTTGGTCAAATTTCAAACTTCATCAGGGTCCAGGCCCCCGGAAAGCAACCGTTATCCAATAACTGAGGGTCCAGCATCTCTGCGCGAAGCAAAAAACAAGGGACTGGTCTTTACCAGGACATTCAGGAAAATGATTCAAGACATGATGAACCCTCAACAGAAACGCTACAGACACAGACCAACAGAAGTCCTCTGGGGTGAGCTGAGGAGAAGAGAAAAGCAGTGGAGGGCCCCGGACTCTGGAGGATCTCAGGAGATTGTGCAACAAGGAACGGTCAAAGATCATTCTCTGAATGCTCCAGTCTTGAGAAATATTGAAGCACCAGACTAAGTGCTGTCATGCTGCTGTACAAAGTACTGACAGCAGGAATATGTTTCATAAGTACTTTGTCATTTTTTCTGCAGTAAAGTTTCCCCATTTAAAGTTAGATTTTTGTCATTTTGTCAAAAGATTCTGCTGCAGTAAATGGGAATTTGTAGTAAGGTATCCATACATCATGTTGGCTAATTGCTGGTTTAAAACTCAGAACTTAATGGGCACAACTAGACTCTTTGTTGTTTGTTCCTTTTCACAGCCACAACTAACATTTTTTTTCCCCTTTTACCTTTTAGTATAATAAGCATTTCTGAGTCTTCCAGACACAAGAGCTGCTGGCTCTCAAAGCAAACACTCGGCCTGTTATTTCCCAATCTATCATTTGTGAGTCATTTCTGAAGACAGGCACAGGCCACGCAAGAACAGCTTGTTCCAGTTACTCAAGTTTAAAGGTACAACTTGAGTTTCACAAATTACGGCACTGCAGATAAAGGAATGCTGATGTGAACAGTAAGGCAAGCACTTCTGCAGGATTTCATGTTCTCGGCTAATGGGGAATTGGGTTCGGTATGTTCCAGGTTTAGGGTCCCTCCTCTTTGTCAGGCAGCAACGTTGCTCCAGCGTTGGTCTCCAACAACAAACCCTTCAGTGGTCATCTATTTATCTGCAGTCGGAAAGGGCGTTAGGAAAGCTCACACGGCACTTTCACAAAAGAAAGTTGTGTTTTATGTCTACACAGGGGAACTGAACTGATTCAACTGAACTGTGATTCAGCTGAATTGTTCATGATCTGGACTCGACTGCTGTAAACTCAATTACACTCAATTGAATTAAATAACGCTTTCACAATTTGGTATACGTACACTTCATGCCTAAACTGGGGAACTGAACTGAACAGAATTGGATTGAAGTTAGTTTGATTAAACTGAACTGAATTGAACTGACTGAATTCGATTAAACAGAATTGAATGTTCATTTGAACTAAACTGAATTGATCCGAACAGAATTTAATTGTTTGGGTTGTAAAACCCAGACCAGTGAATGCATCTCTACAAGGAGTGGGAATTTATTGCATTGTTTATTATTATCATGACACATTTCTTATCATAAGAGTTTTGACTTCCAATTAATAAAGTTTAAAATAATGTTTAAAACCCCCAAAGTTGTCAGTATTGTAAGTATTTAAAAATGTTTCCCTTTTTTTTTTTTTTTTTACATTGAAAGCAACAATAAATATCAACACATTTGAAAATGTGATTAAATATGTGCTTTTTAAATGACTGGTAATAAGAAAATATTACTTTTTTTTCAGGAGCTGTTTTTTTTTTTTTTTTTGGGGGGGGGGTTCTACAATTGCAGTGCCATCCAGTCGAAGCCGGAAAGTGACCTAAAAAGAAAGTCCTAAATATTTCTTATCGTCACGTTTATTAACATGAAATATTGTGCTAAAAATTGAAGTCCATTTACACCAGCTGCATAAATAGCAGGTCTATTGTTTTGTATTTTTAACGTCAATCATAACTGGCCTCTAACATGAATACATGTAAAGAAATATATATATATAGATATAGATATAGATATAGATCTATATATATAGATATATATAGATATATAGATATATATAGATTTTTTTTTTTTTTAAAGAGAGAGAACTACTTACTTAATCATCTTTTTTTTTGTTTCACAATACTGATTTTCATTATTGCACTTTCTTAACCAAGACAATTCACCTAAATTAAGCCATGTTGTTAAAGTTTTGCTGCAGCTTTTAGGTGGAAAATTCCACAATAGTCTGGCTTCAGGCTGACTGTGATGGTAGGCAGTGGCCTCCGTCTCTATCAGAAAACATAGGTGACCCAACAGTCAGGGGCCGAGGGGCTCAAAGTGTATCAAGCTGAGCACGTTTGCTCAGGGAGTTTGCATGTATAATAAAGTCCCTTCAGTTCACCGTCTCTTGCACACACGGGGATGCTGCACAAATGTTTGTGGGAAGCAAAAAAAAACAAAAAAAGGAGGTCAGTTAAGGCTTACGGTCAAACTCTCGACCTGCTCCGACTCACGTGTCGCCGCTGTCCGTCCTAAAGGAAGGGTCACCTGCTTGAACACTGAGGTACGGTCAGCCGCCGGAACCACAGGGAGTGAAGGAATAAATGCAACCGGCTGACAGATGCACACTTTGTTTTTTTATTACATTTCTTCTTTTATTACACACAAGTTAATGATTGTATTTGGGCAATCCAATTTTTTATTGTTTTTGTTTTTTCACTGAAACTATGGCACAATGAAGTAACTGTATCAACTTCGGTTGTTATAAAAATGCAGTATGTATCAAATGTGGCTTATCTTTGAAATTTAAGGCTGTGAAACTGGGCCTTCTGTCTCTAAAAAACTCCGGTGGAGCAGACTTGGCTTCCCTGTTTAGTTTGTTAATAAAATAATTAGCTTTAGTTAGGCAGCAAAATATTTGATTTACAAACTAAATGATTGGCTTGGGAATCAAATATTTAGTCTGGTACTAAATATTTAGTTTCCTACTTGAATATTTAATTGGAAAGCTAATGTTTAGACTGTAAACTGAATTTAAAGCTTGTGAATTTAATGTTTAATTTGGAACTGTGGCGTTTGGAAATTTATAAATTTCCAAACGCCACAGTTTCAAAATGTGGGGAACAAAAATGTCCCCCACATTTTTGTTCTCTGTGACAAACCAAAGATATTGATGTTGATTTGTTTTGAGGGGTTTTTACTGCGCAGCTTAACAACAGGCACCCCGTGGCTAAAAGTGTAAAATTGGGACGCCATTGTGACGCTCAACTGCAGCAACAGGTGAACTTATTTTGAGTCTTTTTGAAAACCAGAGGGGGCCAACAACATTAGGCCTAATAAACCAATTTTAACGACCTCCTGCGCCATAAAGCGGTGATGCAAGCGGAAGCTAACCAGGTGGTGCGTCACATTTCCCATTTACCGAAGTCACTTCCGGAAGCGTCCTCGTCTTTCCGGAAGTTCCAGACTTCACCTGTTTTTGCCGACCGGGTCCGGTCAGTGTACGTTTGGTCCAAACTTTTCTATTTGGACCCAAAAAAAAAAAAAAAAAAAAAAAATGGAGAAAATTTGATAAGTCCTGACCTGCTGAGTCAGCCGTGAGACAGGACAAGAAGGACTTAAAAAAAAAAAAAAGAAGTTAAGACTGCGGCTCCACTTTCTCCCTCTTCGGTCGGTCGAAGAGAGAGAGAGAGAGAGGGAGAGAGAGGCGCTAAATTATCTAACTGTTACGACAGGATTATCAGAGTGGGCGTGGCTTGTGAGGTTGATGACGACGGTGATGATGGCGACGATGAGGGTCTGATATGTGAGCGTGGATAGGACGGATGGAGAGGGGGGAGAATAAGGCGGGGGGACTCAGAAACACACACACACACACGCAGGGTCCCGCTGGTTCAGGCGAGGATAGGCTCCGACCCGAGGTGAACTCCTCGTTACAAATAGGAGCTGCGGCATTCCAAGTGGAGCAGAGCCGAATAGTAACATGAAGTAACAGCGCTGAGTGAGTCTGCTCTATTTAACCGGAGAGGAAGGCAAGAGGAAGCAGTTTCTTTCTGAGTGGCGGGAGGGAAAATATAGAAATATATATTTATATATATATGTGATTTAAGAGGAGGTCGTTCTGAGAGGACTGGACACTGAACTCAGGTAGGTCGCTTCTTATTTTCACCACTTGAATCACTCAGACATCTTCACTTTTAACGTGGTGATTCGTTGACATTTCGTAAACGTTAAATTGAAGTGTAAAAAACAAAAATCGCGTTGGGCTTTTATTTATTTCATTTTTTTAAGTTGAAACGCTTTACTTTATTGTTTTTTGTTTGTTTTGTTTTGGTTTTTTTCTCTCCCTTTAACCGGTTGAAGCGGAGCGAATCTGCGGATGAAATGTGTCAGGTCTTCAGTGACGAGGCGCGAACGCAGATGCGCTGGGGGTAACGGGGGGTGGGGGGGCAGTTCAGGTGCAGTTAGGCGCAGGATCCGTATGTTCCTGTTACTGAGACATGTGGGTCAGCGGTGCCGGACAGAGAGGAGGCGTGATGAGCGCAGACCGACCGGAAACCGCCCAGCAGCATTTCCGCGATAACAATTAACCTGGTTTACAGAGGAGGCTCGAAATGATAGACTTGAATTTTTACAATTGTAAAAAATAAATAAATAATATTTTTTAAAGCAAAAATAAAGAGATAGATTTTATTTTATTTTGTTGTATGGAGATCAGGGTTGTGTGAACTCCACCCTCCCCCCAAAAATAGTTTGGGTGATGACTGTATGTTGCCTCATATTGGACAAGTAATGAAGCTTGTAAGGAGGTGGTACAAGCTGCTCCTATTTTATTCCAGATATGTGATAGGGTTACATAATATTGTGTTGTAATGACTCTTGCATAACAAGAACAATTCTCTTCTTTTACCACTAGGTGGCAGTGCTGCAGCATTTTCCACCTACAAGCGTTCTTGAGAGTTGAGTAAAGTCCATTCAACCCTCAGCTGTTCTCCTGTCAGGGCCTGCCATGATGTTCGAGGAGGAGTCCCAGGGTGTGAGGGGCCAGCAGGAGTTTCCCGTTCTCACGACAGCCGATTCGCCCGGTGCGGCGCCTTCCAGCGGACCTGAGGGTCCTCTGTCTTTCACGGACGAGGCCGTGTCCATACTGACCTCCAGCAACCTGCTGGCTCGCTCCCTGCTGGGTCGCACCTCCGCAGTCAAGCGCAAAGAGAGTCCGGCTGCCACCACCGCCCGGCGCAAGCGCGAGTTCATCCCCCAGGACAAAAAGGACGAAAGCTACTGGGACAAAAGGAGGAAGAATAACGAGGCGGCCAAGCGTTCTCGAGAGAAGCGGAGGGTGAATGACATGGTCCTGGAGAGCCGGGTGCTCGCTTTGCTGGAGGAGAATGCCCGGCTTAGGGCGGAGCTCCTGGCTCTGAAGTTCCGCTTCGGCTTGATTAAAGATCCGTCCAACACACAGATTTTACCGCTTGCTGGAGCTCCTCAACACAATCTTCCAAACCTCACTCCCCAGTATTATCCCCACAGAGGCGATGGAGGCCCTCAAAGCTCAAATCCCAACAACCACTTCGGCCAGTCAGGCACCAGGACCTCGAGAGAGGCTGGCAACATCTCAGAGGACTCTGGGTTTTCTACGCCGGGAGGGTCGAGTGTGGGCAGCCCCGTCTTTTTCGAAGAACGCTTTGGCGACCATGGGAAGTTCTCACCTCACCGAGTGGAAGAGATGGGTTATGACCTCCAGCAGTCACCGGGAGAGGTCCACCAATCTGTGGTGGACCAAGCAGAGGGGATGAAAAACCTTCCACACAAGCTACGTTTCAAAACCCCTGGGAGTGGGGAGGGCCTCGACATCGGTTGCGAAAATGCCAGCGTAAGACGCAGCCCTCCGGAGACCAGGAAAGGGCCGAGCGGCGGTGAAGCAGGAGCAGGGCATTGTCCCAGCTCTTGGGTCCAGCAACTGGAAGGAGAGGACTGCCGCAAGGAGAGACAAACTCTTCATTACGGTTCTTCTACTGCCGGCTGTAACCCCCATTCCCCTCCCACGTCCGGACAAATTGACGTCCAATACCAGCATGAGAACACTTACCTGAAATCTCAGCTCAGCTCCCTCTCTGAGGAAGTGGCTCAGCTGAAGAAGCTTTTCACAGAGCAGCTCATGTCCAAAGTCAACTGACGGACCGGGAGGGGGGTTAGACGATGTTTGCTAATGCACGGACTTGTGAGGACATTTAGAATAGAAAAACAGCAATACAGGGCTTGTCCAAGCATCCAGAAAGACTTTCATGTTTAAATAGTTCTCTGTTGTTCTCAAATGTACAGAGTGTTGCATCATTTGGCCTCTTTGCCATTTCGTGCCATCATTTCATACCTGGAAAAAAAGGGAAAATCAGGTTCAAAATGGGGTCATCTATGGCAGGGTGTTTTGTTTATTTGTGCACAACTGGGGATTCTCGACGTTTACTAAAAGAAAATGAGGTTGTATATCAACAGGAAGTTGCTTTGGGTTATTTTGCCTAAATTGTAGGTCTTAATCCGAGTTCAGGAAATAATATAAAGTAAATTAAACGTGAAATTTTAGCAATTAATGAGTTTCTGTTCATAATTTATGAAACAACAAAATTATCTAATTTTCTTGAATTAACTAAGTACCGATTGTTTTTTGGGGGGGGTTTTATCGGTATGAAATAGTGGTGAGATGGTGAACTGACCCAGAGTCTGTTATATTTTAAACACTCGTATTATCTGCTGTTTAACAACAACTTGCTGTGATCTACCATCCCGTCTCCGTTGCTCATAAATGTGTCTCATCTGTCTGTGTATGCAAAGTAAAACACTGTGACGGCAAGCAACACACACACATATCACAAAAGGAGCTGCGTTTCCATCACAAATGCTCACGAAACTTTGTCGATTCTCCCTTAATGGCGAAAGAACGCAATTTTGCGAATGCGCCGTTGCCATCAAATAAGAAACGCGGTGGATAAGTTTCAGAAACATCATCCTCCTACCACTTCCTGTTGTCTTCTTCGTCTTTCCTGGCAGTAGCAACATCTGGCTGTTGATCACACGACTCGTGTGATGTCGCAAAAAAGGTCTTTCCATTGCAGTTTTGCGAAATACACAAATTGAAAAACACCACCTCATCATAACGGGAAAACATTTTACCATAAAAGAAAACAGCTTTTTTTTTTTCTTTCCAAAATTGGCTCGTTTTCTGTGAGCAAATTTGTTTTCATAATTTCAATGTGTGCAGTTATAAGGTCAGTGGAAAGGCAGTCAAAGACAACTTGACTCTATCACCTGACACCACCGATGGCAGATGAAGTAACTGAGGCGGCTTTATTTACCGCTCTGCTAACGGATACAAAGCACAATCGGACACAAACAGTGAATGCACCATGAGATTAAATCATTAACGAGTAGAAAGCAAAACACAACTCGCACGTCCCGGAGGTTTTCTGAAACATTTATATTCAGGTTTGTTCCGACTTGTTACGCGTTAAAACAGTCGCTTCAGGACACGCGGCAACTTGTACAGTTTTGGTTTGTGACTCTTGTTTTTTGTTTTTAAACCCATTCCATTGTTACCATTTGATCCAGTCTCCACTGTGTCTCTGTGCATTTTCATATTTAAAAACAATAAACAGATTTGACGTATTCTGTGTCGTGAGGGTGAATTCATCACAAGGATCGCACCGCGGGACCGTATTCCTACTCAGACTCACCTTCTGACCCCTCTCCAGAGGCATCAGCGACCCCGCGAGGGTGAGCCAGATCGAGAGTCTGATGCTGCGCGCAGGTAGAGATTTTGGCTGACGGGCGCAGGAAGTGAGGGGAGGTTGCACACTTGGCAGGTTTACAGTCTCCACAGGAGGCGATGCGGGCCGACTGCCAACCAGACAAAGGCGAGAGATGAGAGTCTGCTGTTACTCAACCGTCCCGGTTACAGACCCTCAGAACAGAAGACGCTGATTTGGAGGAGAGTCTGCGTGGATGTTGTGAACAATGACTTCTGGGGAAGTTTCTCAGACTATCGGTTATTATTTTTGTGCCTACTCCCACACAAATCTGATCTGTTTTTGTTGCTGTTGTTGTTCTTCAAACAGTAATGGACTCTTAAACAGGAAATTCCAGATTGCATACCACCCTAACCTCCAAGGTCAAGAAGAAAATGTCTCAAGGCAATCAGCAGAGGGCAGCAATGACGTTCCCTTTAGCGCTACCACGGCACACCAGCATCTGAGTGGCAAAAAAATTATTTTATACATTTTTTTTTTTAGCTCTTTCAACCTCATGAATCAAAATAAGACTGAGAAAAGCGCTTAAAGTATAAACATATGCCAACAAACGAGAAGCAAAATAAATATATGTACGACATATATAATATATCGCCACCTCCCTGGCCTAAGTCAATTTTTGCCAAAAATATAATTTGGGGGAGGGGGAACACTTCTGGGAAAAATTGACTCTACCCATTATTTTGGGAAGGTGGTATTATTTTGAGGAATTTCTTATCAGGATAATATCTGGAGCCAACAAATATGGATGCAGGAAGAACAGATTCCTATAAATAGGTTGCAACTATCTAAGGAAAATGCTGAATATTCAGTCTAACAAGCTGTTGTTATTTTGATACATTTTGCAACAATTTAATCAGTTTAACATGCACTATTATATGCTTCATAATAGAAGAAAATCTCTATCAGAGGGTTTTAAGGCATGATTAAGGCTGCAGGTGTAGAAGGGAGTGATTCACTGCAACATGCTGCTGGTACGCTGCCATCCTCACACACCCAAAGCAAAAAATAAATAAATAAATTAAAAAAAATAGCTGCAACCCCCACATCCCCCTCTTATGCCTATTCTGTTCCCCCCTCATTTTTGAAAGGATAAAGCCTGTTGCTAGGCAGGCAGTGCGACAGTTGCCATAGGAACGCTTGCAGACAGCCAGAAGCAGGGAGGGAGTGCATGTGTGTGTGTGTGTGTGTGTGTGTGTGTGTGTGTGTGTGTGTGTGTGTGTGTGTGTGTGTGTGTGCGTGTGTGTGTGTGCGTGTGTGTGTGCGTGCGTGTGTGCGTGTGTGTGTGTGTGTGTGTGTGTGTGTGTGTGTGTGTGTGTGTGTGTGTGTGTGTGTGTGTGATCGTCGGGTTAGGGTGGGGATAAGGATAGATAGGCAAAAGAGAGGCACTGATGCAGAGGAGGAGAGACAGAGAGAGGTGGGGGGGGTAGGAGAGGGGGACCCAAGTTCACAGCCAATGGGTGGGCTCCTTCTGCACCGTCTGCCCCCCCCCCCCCCCCACCCTACAGAAGGAGACAAAGAGGTGCAAAGGAATTGGGATCAATATTTAATTCTGGAATAGGAGGTCACCCTTCAGATTATGGAACGTAAAAATACAAATAAAACGCAACTCAGACATGAAAACGGCTGTTTGGTTTTTTTCAATAGAAACAGAAAAAATACTGAAATCAAAACAATATGTAACAAACAAAGCGAGTACACAGCTGGTAAATGTTTCTTTAGTGTTCATTTCAATATTTCTCAAGAAAAAAAAAATTCACGATGAAGTCACTTTTAAAGAGGCAACATTGTGTGTTTTCCATGCACATGGTACCATTTTACAACACGGTCAAGTCACTGTGTTACCTTCAGTTGTATCAGATACGGCTTAAAACAAACTTGATTTTGTAATTTGACACCTTGAAATTGAGCCTCTGTCTCTTTAAGAAACTCCTGCTACTTTTGAAACACCGCCTTCTGTAAGTCGTCACAACATGGCTCCTCCATGAATCCTTTACCAACGTTTTGCAGCAAAGTTCTACCAGCAGTCATTGCTGCTGGGTTAGAGGAGGAGTGGTTGCTTGGAAACTTCAGCTCGGAGGAGGAGCTTCGTCCTCAAAGGCGGAGCTACGTCTGCCCAAGTGTTTTGCGCAGCTGAATGGATGCCATGGAGACGATTTCTCAAAACACGCAGGAAAGAATCGAAGCGGCTCGCGGATCCCAAACAGTCAGTGAACAGATTGGTCTCATTTGTTGCCACTCCAGGCGGGAGCATCTTTCTCTGATTCCATCCCCTTGGTTCTCCCTATCAGGGGTAGCCGCTAAAAAAAAAAAAGGATAGTGTTTAAAACACAGACGGATAATGTTTCCTGCTCTTTGTGTAGGCCACTTCCAGCAGCACCGGTGTGAAACGCAACTCGAGCACCACTTGTTTTCTTTTGTTGTTGTTGTTTTGTTTTTTTTTTTTTACTTAACTGGAAGTTGATTTTTGCAATAGTCCTTTGCGAAAGAACCTTTCCTGTGTTTTGAAATCCCATTAAAAGCACAAACATAAATGTGCTCTATTTGAATGTCACAAAAAGAAAAAAGAAAATCACATAAATGTCAACATTCTGCTCTGCCTGTTTTGCACCCAAAAATTGAAGATTACGCTTTTGTCTGTGGCTGTAGGGTTTGCATAATGAATAATGAATAATGAAATGAAGACCCATGTAACTCATGTTTTCCCAGTTAAACTTCTTCTTTTCCATCACCCGTCATGTATGCCATCATCTCCATGCGATTTAGAATCTTGAAAAGATCAGGAGGCAGCATAAAGGTCGAGCCAAGTGCAGCGGCGCCTCCAGAAAAATGTCTTTGTGGTGGACAGGTCAGGCCTGTAAAAAAAACATCAAATACAATAAAAAATATATATTCATTCATTTGTATACTTATTATTTATTTTTATTTACTTATTTGTTTTACAAAAAGTCTAGAAAGTAATATATATGTTTTCTACATAACATTAGATTGTCAACATCAATTTTGTGGAGAAAAAAAAGAGGAAATATCTGGATTTTTTGTGTCAGTTTTGTGATATGTCGCTTTAAAATTGTGCTTTATGGCTGTGTTCATTTTAAGGTGTGTTCTTCCTTTTTTGAGTATTTATTTGTAGAGGCTGACAGTGATTACCTGTCAGTCTCTGTGTGTTTTTTTTCTAAAAAAAAAAAAAAAAAAAAAAAACACAGAAAAAGTGGAAGGAGGAGCATCCAGACCTAAAAGTCTGTGCAGCCTTAAAAAAACCACTGATAAAGGAGGCTTATCCGGGGGGAAAGACCATATTTCTATATCTTCTCCTTTTATTTACATTTTAAATTGTATTTGACTTTGTTTCCTCTGTTTAATCTGTTCCATCATTTTACCCCATGAATTGAAATACAAAAGCTCTTTCTTGTTGTCCGTGAACTGTGAACCCTTAAGTTTGAGTAAGCCCTTCAGTTATACCCCCCGCCCCCCTCTTCTTTCATAAAACATGCTCAGCATGAACTCAGGGAGCAGGTTACCAGATGCCTTAAATACAATTTGCTCTTCAGCTCTTCAAATTTAAGATGATTTGCACCATGAGTGTAAATGTATCTGTCTTCCTGCCGTTGCACGGTTACAACGAGGCATCAAAACCTAACGTCCATCAAACACCATGGCTCCAAAAATAACTTCTCTCTCCCTCTTTTTTTTTTAGATGTCTACTAACCTTGTTTCACAGACCTTGATTTGACTGAGCCTGGCTCGGAGCCTGACCCCGCCCTCTCCAGCCCAGTCCCCGCCCCGCCCCGCCCCTCCCCGCCCCGCTCCCTCTCCTGCCACGGGATTTGAAGGCGAAAGAGGAGAGAGAGAGAGGCAGAGCCAAGAGAGAAACAAAAAACGTGACGAGGCACCCAAAGCGTCCTGTTATGCAACAACTGACCTACTAACATACATTAGAGACTCCGCGGCGAAACGGAGAGAGCGAAAGGAAGAAATCAAGAGAGGCAAAGCAACGAAAAGGGGAGGGCGGGGAGGAACAGAAAGCGACCATGACGGGAGGAGCGCACCGAAACGAGGCACTGTGGTCGCACGTCCTCCGCCGGTGACACGGCGGGAAGAGCGCTGCTGTTTCTGGGCGCGTGAGTTCAGAGAGAGACGCAGAACGGCGTCTTGTTGGACAAGAGGACCGCGTGGATTCTTTGATTCCTTTTGTTTTTATATAGACATATTTTAAAGGTAAGGCATCACTGGACATATGGCGTTACCAAGTAACCCGGTGTGAGGGTTCGTCTCCGCTCTGTTTGCCTGCGCTGTGTGTGTGTGTGTGTGTGTGTGTGTGTGTGTGTGTGTGTGTGTGTGTGTGTGTGTGTGTATGTGTGTGTGTGTGTGTGTGTGTGTGTGTGTGTGTGTGTGTGTGTGTGTGTGTGTGTGTGTGGAGGGTCCAGAACCCGAACTCAGACACGCTGCTGAAGTTGTACCATGAAGTCTGCTTACTTTGTAAAAGCCATGTGGAGGCACGCGCAGGCTGGCAGAATGCAATGAATACAAACCGTCCAATTTTGCATGGCAGTTTAACAGCTAACTTCAAAATGACCCACATTTCCAATTTCTACCAAGCAAGCTAACTGTCTTAAAATAATAATAATAATAAAAATACTCAATTGGTTTAAAATAAACTAAAGTATGATTTTAAAAAATCAATTAAAGCAATGCTGAAATAGTCATAAAACTGTTATTCTGGCAAGTTAGCTAGTAGCAAATTTGACTTTAGCATTAGCTTTTGTCGGAGAACTAGCCGAGGCCGGATGCAAACTCAAAAGTATTTGCTCCAATGTCCAAACTTTTTCCATCATAATAGTGGCAACCGTTCGTGTTCACTTGGCAGGAACATTTAGTGTGAATATATCCGCTAATTGAGACTCAGCAGGAGGCGTCTCAATCATTCTCCGAGATTTCATCTCATGGCTAATGTTTGGCTAATATATATTGCCAAATCAAAGTAGATAATATTAGAATTTAATAGCTGTTAAACACTACATGTGCAACACGTGTGCTTGGTTATAATGCGAATTTTAATGGCTACAATTGGATATCCCCAAATTCTTAAATAGTGCCGTGCAGGAATCCCGACTCGCTACATTAGAGGTCTAGTCAAAGCCCTCTCTCAAATTGGGTCAATAACGAACAATTCTAGCAACTGCTAACTTAGGTGTCTTACAATGAAGCCAGTAGAAAATAAAGATGAACTAAACCATAACTGTCCATTAAGTATAACCTGAATGTTTTGGTAATAAAGTTTCTTGATTTGGTGCGACTTCAGTAGCATATTGAAGTTCCACTACAACATAATAATAACAATGTGTTTTTTATCGTATGCAGAACTTTTCTTGGCTTTACAGTGGAGGTTGTACAAGCAGCTATTTCTGTCCTATGAATAATTGATCAGCCTCATAAATAGAATCCTTCCTGCCACAGAGGCTCAGAGTCTCGACTTGTCCTGCATGTCCACCAGCTTTGTTTTAGGTTAGTAGGCTAGCTCATGTGGACAGGCGGGGAGGGAGAAGGGTGGGGGAAAAAATCCTGTGCAGGCTGAGAGGACACACTTCTCCCCGTCACGTGTAGCAGCTCTTTGTAAAAGGTTACAGCGGCTGCCTTTAACCCTTTGGAACCCTCGGAGGTCGCAGCCGTGCGCCGCGAGCGCGCCGTGAAACGTTTCAGCACACCTGGAAGCTTGGACGTGTCTTTTTTTTTTTTTTTGTCTTTTTTCTTCTTTTTCTTTTTTTCCACCTCCTTTTCTTGTTTACAACTTGCACTTGGACTCATGGAAGCCACGCGCGGACAGCCCCCACGCTGCGGATGAAGAAGGGTGAGGTCCTGCGTGGGTTCGAGGACATCTGGATCAAATGTTGGGGTCAGAGGAGGTGCGGGTCTGTCTCTTAGAAAAAACAAAAAGAAAAGAAAAACTGGGGGAGCTGTTAAAACTTTAAACGTGTTCAAATGGGTGTTGTAGAAGAACGTGTTGTTGTTTTTTTGTTTTTTTTTATTGGAGGTCGTAGATGAATTTCACGGCACAGTTGTAATCGCCTCGCATGACTTGAGGATCCGATTAAATATGCATGGACACGATTTGTCAGACAGCGCAACAAAGGAGGCGTGCGGGGTGACATATTGTTCACAAGGTGTTGCTGACTGTGAGATTTATTTATGCTCTTTATTCTTTTTTAAATGTATATTATTATTATTATCGTTTATTTGTCCCTTCTTGTCTGAACGCACGCCGCACTTACACCCGCAGCAACCAGCCCTTTAAAAGACTGCTGATCTGTTGCGTCATGCGTCGCGGGCGCAAAGGACGTTTTTTCGGAATAATGTGAGAGCGGGGGACACACCCCCATATAGGATCTCTGCAGGCTTTACATATAAAGCCGCACGTGGGTACTAATACAGCTTTTCAGGAATGCCATTGGTCAAGCCCAGTTAAAAACGAAATAGGCAACATAGAACCACGACTTTTATACGCATCGTGGCTATAGGACGATGTAGGTGTGGGTGGGGGCGGTTTCATAATAAATGAATTAAATAATGTAAGTAGATGAGAAAAAGGAGCAGATTATGCAATCTGCGGAAACCCCGTAGTCTGCGGCGACACGCAGCGCCGCGCTTCTTCTTGTGCTGCGGACCCTGCCAATTGGTCGGGCGCGCGAGTCGGGTTTCTTCTGTGTGCGCGCGCCAGCCAGCGACGAAATGTAGGTCACGTCGGTCCCGCGGGGAGGGGACGGGAGCTGAGGAAGGCGCGCGCCACCGACCGCAGCTGACTGGAAAGGCAGAATCAGAACCCCACCAAAATAAACCCAGAGCCATAACAAAGAGCCGAGGCAAGCCGTGGCAGCAGCGCGAAAGTGGAGCAGCAAGTGAACAAGTAGCACTCATGTCTAGGTGTAGCCCCATGCAATGTTAATAACAGAGTAGGCTATATATTTAAAAAAAAACTCCATGGAGGAGATATCTAGGAACTTTAATTTAAAGTAGGACGGAACAACAGAGACTTGTGATTTCAGAAGTTAGATTTTAAAAAATCCAGATAGCCTTGAAAGGCAAAGGCCTCGTTTCCACTGAGCGATACAGTTAGCTATGCTATTTTACCCGTTTCCATAGTAAACCTGTCAACGTACACCTGACCCATAATGCACCACTCCTGGACCCCTTCAGTTGTAGTAGAACAACGCTATAGTTAGCATGGTGCTAGTGGCGTCACATAACGCAGTCCATTGATTGGGGGACGGAAAAACGTCACTGCGTCACCACAAACTAGTTCCTCACGTTCGTTGTCGCCATGTTGGATGTTTGGATTGTGAGAGATCAGCTGGCGGTGGAAAAGGCTGGATGATAGAGTAGCGTACCAAACCTGGAAGTTTGCAGAAGCAAGGCAAAAGTGAACTTTTAGTGCAGTAAAACAGCTTCACTTCATTGCTTCATTATAAAATGTTATTCTCATTGGGAAGTTGTTCATACTAGAAACAAAGGCATAAGTTTATTCTTTCGGAGTGACTTCTCAATTCAGGAGTACGGCAGTTTAAAAAGTAAAAAAAAAAAAAAAAAAAAAAGCATTTACTTAAACTGCTGTAATTACTTAGATTTTTTTAGCACCTCTTTACTTTTATGTTATACATGAAAGTATGATTTTGTTTATTTTTTTTAATACATAGAGTGTTACCTCCTGTCTAAATGTAAAATATTGGTTGAGAAAGAGAACGTGAAAAGAAATCTACAAATGTCAAAATGTGCTTAAAAGTGCACTAACCAAACTTGACTTTTAACATCTTTTGTTAAAAGTGTTGATTGGTGTTATTTTTTGCTAAATACTCACATGGACTGACTGATCCTAAGTAGCCATTAAGTTAATGTTGAGAAATGTCAAGTCTTTGGCAGGATACCATGACTGGTAATGCTTTCCAGGTTGTGTTTCACATGGGAGGGTCATTAGCAGTTCTCAGTTTCTTATGTAAACGTCTCTGTTTAATAATCACCAAATGGAAAACATGAAGACGGTTTCAAGGTTCATTAAACAGCATTTTCATAAACCACTGTGAAATGTTTGAAATCGGAGTTGGTTTAAATCAGATGACTGAAGTCCACTTTGATCTCTGATACCTCTTGGACTTGACTCGCCGTTAGCTTTAGCCTGAGGCACCAGCTAATCTGGATTTGTACTACATGAAGACTTCTTGACCATTAAAACATTAAAAGGGATAGTTTGGAGCTTTTATGTATATTTGTTGAGCAATAGTTGGAAGATGTCGGATTACAGCTAATGTGACACTTGAAAATGGACTAGATATCAAACGGCTTTCATAAAAGACTGTTAGATTGACGCGTTCCTCGATGACCAATGTATGTCAGTTCTCTTAGTCAACTGGTTGGGAATCCCTCTGGATAATATTCAAAATACTGCCAGACCAGAAAAAGTACATTCATCACTACAGTTGTGCAAATGATGCAAAATCCAAAAGTTTAGTCCATCCAAGGTGAACTCAGAATGGATTGACGAATCGCAAGTGTTAAAGCAAATTCATACAGTTTGTTGTCCATAGCTGCCAACTTAACACCAATGTTGTTCAGCCGAGAAAAAACTAATGAAAGTCACAATTATTTTCTAATTTACTGCAGCTTAGTATTTATTGCCTTGAAGTTGGTTTGAATTGTTAAAGTTAGCTAAAATGGTGTGCCATTTGATTAGTTGTTAGCTTGCTGCTGCTTCCAGGATTTCTTCACTTTTCTACAAACTACCATCTACTCTATTCTACCTTTGCTAAACAAAACTGCAGGACAAGAAGTTATAGTTAGGAGCTCTGTATGGTTTTCATCCTGGCCTACTTTTTTGGCCTGTGGGCTTTCTTGGAGTTTCCTGGCACATGGACTGTGATGAAAGATGAGGGCCTGGCTTTGTTATCGTTCTGTGGTTTGGAGCCAAGAGAAAGGCAAATTACAGCATTTAGTAGGCCAGGAGAGCACATGTGACTGGTACACCACATGGACTGAGTCACGCTCCTTTTATTTTATTTATTTATTTTTTTCCTTTTTGAAAGAGAAATGATACGGCTCGTGTTCGTGGAAAAGACTCTGCCTCGCCTTGTTGGTCTGCTGCCCAGACCTTTGCTTCCACCCCACCCCCCTTTTCATCATCTCCTTGACATATTTTTTGCTTCTGTAAAACTAAATCAACAACCAGTCTTGGATTTCAAGCCTTCCTTGTCCATGACCTCCAACCCAGCACTTGCCCTATATTTAATTTGCCCCACTGTGAGCAGGGTGTGAGGTCCCACGGTTTAAAGGAGCCTCTTTTTTTTGTTTGTTTGTTTTAATGTCGGACCTGTCCTGAATTCCTGAAACAGCCCCCTGGAACACGTGCTGGAGCTTTTGAACCACTGTTTCCAAGGCTCACTGCCCCATTTGGACTCCTTGCGGTGTGGGCACTGCGGTCGTGTGAGGGAGTTCGACTCCGGATTCTTTTCCTGTGCCGTCATTTCCAGAGTGCCACAGAAACCGAGCAATGACACGTGAAGTATTTATGACGAAAGGAAAGACTAATCCAGGTCAAGGGAACGCTTGTGAAGGAAATAAGTGGGACACAAAGCAGGTTTGCAGCCTCAGTGCTTGTATTTGCATACTCTGTGTGGAAAGCTTTAGGGCGGATTTTTCCTGGATTTAGCCCCTCTGCAAGTCCAGTAGGAGTACCGTCATTGAAGAAGTAGTCAATTTACACTTATTTACACAATTAAATACAATTCGATAAAGAAAGTGGCAGTAGACCTGGTAAGGTCATTCATGTCTTTGCTCTTTCTGAGGACAGATATGGAACATGCGCAGCCTGTGACGTAAGTCAGCCCGGCGTTTAATAAAATCTAAAATTGAGCACGTGAAGCTGCTGGTTTCATGGAAAAGAAAAGAGCGTCTGATATGATTGGCTGTTTCTTCCATTTCCCCATTTTTTTGTTGCTATGGGTGACAAATTCCTTGTAATGATGCAATACCAACGGTGTTGCAACTGCTACTGGTTCTCCCCCTACCAGGCAACCAGCATAATCTCTTTGTCTTAACTCTCTGTCTCTCTCATCGGTTTCTTCTGCTTCTTTGTTTCCACTCCACTTGCAGTCACATTTGTCGATATTCACAAAACGCTCTGATTTGCCTCACTTCCTTCTCTGTTGCTTCTCTTATCTTTTTTTGGACTTCTCCCTTTTCTCTTTCTGCCCGTCGGCTGACCTATATTCCAGCGAAAGAATACGGTAGAGAAAGCCAGGCTCTTGTTTACGGAGCGCAGCTCGTTCCCAGTTTCTGGGTCAGTGGGACACGCAAATTAAAAATGGCTCTATCTGCCGCCGTCTTCCTCTCCCGTGCCGCGGAGGCACATGTCAGTCGTTCGTGACGATGACCTGAAACAGTTAAGTCAGGGAAAGCTTCTTCCAGCGGTGGCCGGCAAAGAGTTGATGCAAATAAGATTCAGCTATGTTGTATTTGAGCTGCATGGCACGCTTAAAAAAAAAAAAAAAAAACTCAGCAAAGCTTTTTTTTCTTCCCAGAATTAAAACGGGAATCTTTTCATAACAGGATCAGAGGACAGGGGAAAATGAGCAATGCTGTAAATACTTATGCATATGTGAAAGGGTACATTTGATATAACCCTTTCTTCAATCTAAGCACGCATTTGAACGCAGAAAGGGATCTTTTATTTGTTTACTTGCAGTGCAGAAGAACTATTTCCTTTTTTTGCATATCCTGAAAAGCAAACCAACCACAATTGTCTCAATTTAGGTCAACTCCGAAGGTTATGAAGACAATAAACTTCATTTGCATATAGATATTTTTTACACTTATGTGTGAGAATTCCAGCTTCTTTCTCGATAACAAAGCTGGTTAGGTTAGTTTCACTGATATCTGCAGGTAGTGTGTACATAACATATTATAATATGTTTCTCATACGCAAAGTCACATTTGGAAAATTATTGTATTGTTGTTTGACATTGCAACAATAAGCTCGGTTGCAACTAACCTACATTAAGCTCTTTTTTTCTTTTTTTACCTTTATCATTTCACACTTATCATGTCAGATGAGGGCAGCAAGGGCAGTGGGAAAAAAAACAACAAAAAAACTGTTAGCTAAATATATTATATGCAACCAGATCATGAATGCAGATCACTTATTGAATATAAAACCCACCCAATACTGAATTCATGCAACCAGTTGCCATTGCATTATTGCACACATTGATAGTGTAATGACAACTACTGTTTTATAGACTGTAAATCTATGTGTAGATCTAAGTCGGAGTAGCGAGTGTGGTGTATATAATATCAGACAAGCACCTGTTTGTCTTTACTTTCCAGTCAAAACACTAAACGTGGACCAAAAATTTTGTTTTAGGAAAAATTAAGGAATTCTTAATAGAAGAGAGATGTCATACCACAAGATCTCACCATATCTTGTGGGATAAGGGAAGTCTGTCTCTCAAAGAAAATGATGAGGCTATGATATTCATGTGATTTGAGATTTTCTTCCTGTCGTATCATTGTTGAAGTTTCTTATTTTGAGGTTCTTGAGTCGCTGTGTTGACATAATCTGGGTGATGGTCAAAACCTCTTACGCCTTCAAACTGTTTCAGCTTACTTTTGCGGCAACAGTTTGGACTTTGTAGAAAAAAAACCTGTAATCTAGTCAAAGACAGAATGCAAAACAATTTAACAGGTGGGATATGGTAAGCTATGTCCCACCTGTATTCCTGCGGCTAGCTAGCCGTTAGCCACTAATGATGCTAAAGTTTCTCAACAGCATCAAGTCTCGTGAACCCGATAAAATGTATCATTTTGCTTTGTCTCATGAGCACTGTGAGAACTGTGAACACTGAGCCGTTACTTATTATTCTTTAGGAAAACCTAACACATTTACCTGCAATTGTACATCTAAAAAAGTTCATGTAGAGAATTTTGTAATTTTTCTGAATTTGTCTTGAGAATGTCATTCAAGTTTATTTAGTTTATCAGCTATAAAAACAAGTGGCAGGTCACCCACCTCTGCTCTAGAAGAACTCCAGACTAACAAGCCTTGAAAGACACAAGGCAGAATTACAGAAAAAAAACAACCCGCCTCTTTTATGATGTCTTCAAGGTTTATAGACACAGGTTGTCAGATTAAGCTACAGGTAGCACCTTGTCGTCGGTCAATTTTCACGCTTTATGTTAACCCATGTCCCACCTTTCACCTCTTTTCTTTCCGGGGACTCTTGACCTATATTTATCAGCGCCCCTCCTCCCAGCTTCCCCCACACCTCCAAATCCCTCACTAGTGTCTCAGCTTCTTTATCCTTGACCTGCATTAGCAGATGCCTTTGTCTGCCTTATCTGCTCGCCCTGTAACATCGATTTGGCATTGACTTGTTTTGGCCAAGAATGCCGCCACATTCCTTTGTGGATGAGCACATTGGATTGGGGGGATTGGGGATTCAAGATAGATGGCAATTCACATACACAAAAAAGCAAATTGTCCCAAATTGTTGAAGGGTATTTTTTTTCTATATTTCGCTAAAATGCTCTGAAGCAGATCCAGGGAACTGACAGATCTGCAGCTGACTCAGCCTTTGTGCTGTCTTTTTCGAACACTCATCAGACAAAACAAAAGCTCTAATCCTTACACAATCCAGTTTTCATGCTCTCAGCATGTCTGCGACTGATGTAATTTCAGTGGCGCGCTATCCAGTTATGCATGTGCTTGTCTTGGCTGCGACGTGTAAGTAAGCCATAATGACCACCTCTTGGTTTAGCGTCCGGCTAACCTTAAAAACATGAGATTTTCAAGTCCTTGAAAACATGCCCATCCTTCTTCTAATGAACTCTTTGTCCCCCGTTGCATCACAAAAGCCAACATCAACATGCCAGGAAACGGGTCAGAGGTCACAGTTTGCAGACGGATCACATCAATAGCAGGTCTAAAAGGTCAGACGCTAAGGTCTAGCAACCATTCAGTGGTTGCCAGGAGTTACAGAGGCGACTAAGACTAGACATGCCAAAACATTGGACAACGGCTCCGTGGTTTTAGACATAAATCTTTGATCTGCATGCATGCTACGATGTTAAAAAAATATTTTTTTAGAAAAATGTATGTAACACAGTACCAGCAGTCCATGTGGATTAACACTTTTTTTTTCTTTTCTTTGAATGTCTGCAGCCTTTCATCTTGCAGTCAGTTGCAGAGAGAACAGAGCGAGGAAAGGGAAACTGAGACCAAGGCTCCCCGAGAGGCAAACATGCTGAGGTAGACAGAACGGCCTACATCCTGCAGCCTGCGTGGAGATCCTGGACGCTTCGTCTTCAGCTCAGCATTCTGCTGTTTTGCTGTTACAACATATAACAGTCGAGACTGGAGACTGGTCTAATTCACTTCTGTTCTTTTGGACGCTGAAAGGAGAACCCCCGAAAGTGGATAAATGAGGGTTGCCAACGTTAAACTTCACTTGTTCTTCATCTTTTTGAGCTATATGGACACTTGAGTCCCAAACCATAAACAGACTGCTTATTCCAGGAGGCAAGGCATTTTCATTACAACCTCATTATTTCAAAGTGGCTGCTATCTGTTGCAAGGATGGAAAATTTGAGTCCAACTCTGAAAACGTTGAATAAACCCTCAGGGAACAACCTCAACAGCATCGAGACCTTCAACGGTTATGACGAGACTCTTCAAGGGACACCGGCTCGCTTGGGGCGTCTCATCAAACCCAAGCCCAATGTTACCTGCAGACGGAAGCGTCAGTTTATTTCTGATGAGAAAAAGGATGCCTCCTACTGGGAGAAAAGGCGCAAGAACAATGAGGCTGCCAAGCGCTCTCGGGAGAAGCGTCGTCTCAACGACATGGTGTTGGAAAACCGTGTCATCGCACTGAATGATGAGAATGTGAGACTGAAGACCGAGCTGCTCCAGCTAAAGCTGCGCTTTGGCCTCATCAGCACAGCCTCGTACATTGAAAAGAGCCAACAGATCAACGTGGCAAATGATGGCGGAAACGGAGGTTCTTCCTCGTCCTCCTCGTCTAATCAGTACTACTCCAGCGGTTACTCAAGTGGTTCTCAGGTGATGATTAACTCTGACTCCTCGGAAACAGAGCAGTCGGGACACGGCGATAGCCACAGGCAGCTGGTGAAGTACTCTCCGCGCGGCTCCCTCTCCGATATGTCCGACGGTTCCTCGAGGGACAGCCCTGAACCGATGCCATTTGAAATCAAACAGGAGGGAGACAGGCTGGAGATGGACATCACCAGTGACACCACAACTCAGATTATGTTCAACATCCACAGGGGTCCGGCATCTGCATCCACAAGCCACCAGATTAAGCAACATCAGGAGATGGATGCTGTGTATCACCACCACCCGCACCTCCTTCAGCAGCAATCCCATCAGGTGACAGTCGCTGCTGTCAAAACTGCTAGCCAGACTGTCCCTCACCCACCTGCTGCCCAAAGAAGTGTCATTCTGTACGGCGCCAGCAGTGCCTCCTATCCCGTTGACGTCGTCACCAGGCCCCAGAATGTAGATCTGCAAGTAGCCTTAAAGCACAGCAGTAGTCAACTACAGCAGCCCATCACAGAGACCTCCATTGAGACGCTAGCTGAGGTAACAAAGCAGCTGGAGAGAAAGACATTGGACTCTCCTCAGTATGAGCTGTCAGACAGCTTTAATGAGGCTAAAGAGAGAGAGGTGTATAGAGTCTGTCAACCTACTCAACAGCAGGAGGGTGGATCACCCAAAGAGCTCCTCAGTGAACAGGCGGAAGGGGTTAGGCACACCCAGTTGTACCACCATCTTCAACAACCTCACCATTCATACCTCAGTGCACAAGATGAGGAGCCACCAGTGCTTAGCTACGAGGGTGGACCCAGAGCCGATGGTTACCTTCAAAGCCAATCAACGTCGTTAAGTGACGGCGATCCTTCTGACAAAGAGGCGTCAACAGACGATGAAGAATCCCTATCTTTGTCCTGTTCGGAAATGAGCAGCATCCACAACCAACATCTTTCTGGGATCCTCCAGTCTGGTTTGCCTCTTCCCCAGTACCCAGGCTGTTCCCAGATGCAGGGATGGGATCCTCAAGGAGAGGTTCGGGGAACGGCGCTGCCCCACAAACTCAGACTCAAACACCGGGCCATGAGCACCGGAAGCAGCGGCGGCAACTGCTCCGGACAGGAGTCCCCAACCACTCCTCCCTCTGCTACTCCTCCTCCCCTCCCTCAGCACCCCTATCTTTCCCTCTCGCCGTTGCAGAACATTAAGCGAGAGAGCTCGAGTGGAGCTTGCAAACTGATGGCATCAGGAGAAGGTGCAAAGAAGGAGAGTGACAAAAAGGAAAGCGGAGGGCGACGGAACAAGAGGCGAGATTAGGAGGCGTCACTTTACAACTTGAAGATTTAAAGTTCTCCCCTAAGACTTCTCTGCCATCATGCCTTTGCCCTACTATGACATGCCCTTCTGAATCTGAGGACATATTTCTGGGCTGTACTACCCACCAACTCCCAGATTAAAGAAAAGAACGGACATATTGTAGGCTGTGTATCATATTTGTATATGTTGTACAGATTTTGTCATTTCTTACATCCTCTCCATACTTACTGAAGCATGTTTGTTTATGGGGTGAGGAGAAATGGAACTCCATGTTTTTTTTCTACTCTTCTCATTCGACAGTATCCAGTAGAATACGCCGGCGAAAGCACACTTTTGATATACAAAAAAGGAATGTAAGCGAAAACAAAAAGGAAAAAAAAAATCAATTTACAACAAATTTGATGCATATCCAGCTGTAGATAAACATACAAATGTATGGGTCTATGCCTTAACTATAATCAGATGCAAATGTACACCTGGGATATCCCCTCGACCAAAGAAGCACCAACACTACAACTACTAGTTTTCATGTCTCAGCCCTCACTCTTTCCCTCTCCCTATGAACCATCTGCATCATTTCATAAGAGATCATGTCACAATTATTTTTGAAGCACTTCTTTTGTATATAAATGTGATATAAATGAATATATGTATCTATTTTAAGCATCTATTTTAGGAAGAAAAAAAAAAGAATACACATCCAATAAAAATGCAGCAGGAGGGATGAATCTAAAAAAATGATCGTCCTCTGACAAATCACAACCGTCGCACAGTGGGGGTGTAACAAGAACTTGTAGCAAAGATATTTGCAGCGATAACCATTTGCTGACATCATGTGACTGCGTCGAGTTTGTAATCCATCAGCGTGAGCCCTGGATGCGAAGATTTGTGCTTTCAGTTTGAGAGCTTCTATGTTTGAGATTCTTATTTTGACGGATGAAAGGAAGTAGTTCCAGATTAGCCTTTCGTACTGACAGAATCTGATAGTAAAGATTGCTTTTAGGCTCCCTAACAAGATTGAAGTTTAAGTAGAAGACTCCACAACTTCTAAACCAATGGTCTGACAGCACTTTGGTTACACTTACAGTGACATTCCAGGTAGAAGTGATTCAGTCGCGGCTAGCAAACTGCTAGCTGGTACCTGCTTATGCTTCTATGTGTCCACAGTTACCCAAAGAACTGCTTTTGAGGTTGTTGGGTTTTTTTTTTTTTTTTCAAATGATCTCAAGTTCAAAATCTAAAAATCTTGCGTCTCTTCAGTCGTCATTTTTTATCCACGACAGACCGCCGCCAACAAAGCTAACGTTAGCATCTGCCTTCATGCCTCCTATCAGGTCCATGAAAATTAGACTGATTAAATTTAAGCTGCATAGTTCTGCATTGACTAGAAAGTTTCTGAAAAAAGCACATTTTAAGATGTCTTAAATGTTTATTTTATTTTAAAAACCCTAAAAGGAAGCAGTTCAATTACCTCAGAATGAAACAAGTATGAAGCCGAAGGTGTGAACTGATTATAGTCTTGTACATTTACGTGAAATTCACTCATAAAAGGAGGACGCTTGTCTTATTATTGTGTGTCATCTCGTCTCACGAGCTGTGTTGTTACACCCCTTCTGTGCAGCCATGTTGGTTTTGGTTGCAGCAGGACGCAGTTCGATTAAACCTTTCTCTTCTGATTGTTGAGCTTTGGCATTAATCATTGGTAAATGTCGTGTTTACACAGAAATGGCCATCCGTTGCGGAGAGCCAGCAGCACTGAAGGGAGAATTTGTTTCTCCCCGAGGCGTAAAGCCTCAGTAAAATGTTTGGATTAATGAACCTTTAACCAGCCTTTAAATATTTGGTGGAAATCACCGGCTGCAGGCTGTAAGCCTTTTTTAGTTTCTTTGAGCTTTATCAACCATATCTTGTTGTTACTATTCACTGGCCCGATGTATTTATTTCCCTTGCCCGTCAACATGCCATTCACTGTACAAACAAAAGAAAAGCACAGGAACGCAGACGGAGAATGTGTACAGACCCCTTCAGATACATATCATAGCTTAAAAGTAGAACGTTACATTCTGGCAAAGGAGACAAAAGCAAGACGAGTTTAGACAGATTCATGTAAAAACACTACAGTGCACTGAGACTTAACGTAAACCCTGAATACCTACTGTTTACTTTTTATGTCACGGGCTATGGTTCTGCAATGTGACCAAATATGACTCTAAAGGCCCATGACTCATTGAAAATTATTTATCAAAGGGGCAAGTATTATGTTAAATTGACTTTTTTTAAATTTTGCACCGTGTTGAATTATTCCCTCGCTAAAAACATACCTGGAGTGTTGTCTGGATTTGAGAAATCCTTTAATCTCCTGTGGCAACCATTCAGCTGTGCAAAAAACGCCCGGGTGGACCAAGCCCCGCCTTCGAGGCGCAGCTACTACTGAAGGCGGAGTTTCAGAAAGAGCAAGAGTTTTTAAAGGGCCAGAAGCCCCATTTCAAGACATAGCGTTACAAAGTTAAATTTCTTTTAAATGATATTTGACATACGTAGCATGTTTTTTAACAACTGCACAGTTGCTCGATTATACTATAAATTGATACTATGTGCCTGGAAAACACATAATGCTGCCCCTTTTAAAATTAGGCTAAATAACTTAATCCCAAAGGCAAATTCTGCTTACAATTCAACTGGACTAAATTTCTTACCTTGAGCTTTAACTAAAAAGAGGGCTCCCTCCTCGTTTCCTGCCTCTATTATGCATTTCAAGGGGTTGTAAATCCCCTAAGTTTCATGGTAGTTCTGCAACTGGATTGTGACAAAATGCCTTCACTGGATTCTAGTTTAATGTCTATGTACCATGTTTGGCTTCTGTTTCTTTTTTTTTTCTTTTTTTTTTGGTGCTTGTGTATAAATGTAAAGCTTTCACAAACACTGTAACGTTTGTTTCATCGGGTTTCGTATCCCGTTTTCTAGTCCAGGTGACGTTCCGTTATCCCCTCTGCCATGTCTTTGCTCCTCGCGACTGTGACGACATGTGTTTGCCTCATTCCTCTTCGTCCCCCTCACTTTTAAAGTGTGTATTAAAACGGTAATGTTTGTGGTTTTTCGCTGATGGTTTTTATGAAAAAAAGGAGAAAAAAAAAAAAAACACGGCTACTTTGGTGTGTTGTTTGAGACGGGTGGCGGTTGGTCCGGCTGGTCATTACCATGTAAAGACACTAAAATTCATTGTTGAAAGATGGGAGCGTTTCGAGGAAAATAAAAAGTGATGTTGCCCTGTCGACATATCAACGAATTTTCTTTTCCTGAGTCTTTTTTTTGTTTGTTTGTTTTTTGTGCCTCGGAGTAAATCTGCTTCGAGATGAATAAAAACCAGGAAAAACTCGTGAATCAAAACAGTAAGAGACGGTGAGTGGTTGCCATTTTACCAGAATTAACAGATCATCTTACTCACTGACTTGCAACAGGAAATGAATCACCGTTATTAAGAAAACGGGAAACATCTGCACAGTACACATGGCTCCTTGGCGGTCTAAAACAATGGAAATCGGAACGCCGTTTGCTCCAGGTCGGCATAACGTGGATGAAGACACCGTTTCAAGACTCGTGTATAAAATGAAAGTCAGCATAATAACTCATCTACAACTAGATGGACTTTAAGAATGTCTTGTCTCCATTGTATTTTTCCTTTTCTTCTATTATTTTCTCCTTATGCCCTTTACCTTCCATACTTCTTCCCTTGTGTCCTTATTTCAATCCTTCCTTGCGCCATTCCTTTCTTCCCATCCTTGCTTCCTTGTTTTCTTGTGTCCAATTCCCATTTCTTGTCCTTTTTTTTACCTTTTACCCCTTATGTCCCTTTTCTTCTGTCGTTGCCGCCTTCCAGTCTGTTGCATTCTTTATTTCTCTTGATTCCTGCCTTTTTTCCTTCAGTGCTTGTGTCCTTATTTTCTTGTGTTCTACCTCAATACCTTCAGTCCTTTGGAGTTTTTTCCTTGTGTCCTATCTCCCGTTATTTTTGCTGGCAGCCAATAGCAGACTCTGCCAATGGTACACGTATCTGGCCTAAATTCATCGAGAATATTTACATTTTACTCTAAAAGACTGAGCAGTCCGGAAAGCTGAGTCTGTACAAATCCGTCATTTCAGCACTTGACTGTTACGGAAGTTGAGATCCGTGAATCAAACAGCTATCGATTAGAATCATTCAAATGTCCCAGGATTAGCTTTGACCCAAGGCTGGCACTCTTTCTGCTTTCCCACCATTTTCAGGCTAAAAAATGCGTCAGACCAAAACCCTGTGCTTCGACGCACTGCTTCGAGATGAATCAAAACCAGGAAGAAAGGTTAGGTTGAACGGAGATAATCTGAAACAGCATTTTAGCGCGTCGTTCCTGAAACCACAAAATAAAACGCAAGAACACATTTTTCGTCCTTGGGGAGGACAAGCTGGAATCGGCAGGCTCAGCGTTGGCAAGAAAAAGTGTAATCAGTGCGTCCCTAATCAGAAGCATACCATGTTCTCGTTATTTGTCCTGATTTTCTTGAAAACAGTTTCCCAAACTCACTGTGTTCCCATAAGGACATAGATTCTTTCTCAAGTTTCTTTGTGGTTTGACTTTCTCCCCCCCCCACCCCTCTTATTCTCAGAAAAGCAGGTTTCAGAGAAAACGGCTCAAAGTTTGCGTCTTGGAAGAAAGTCGACATTTAACACACTTTCTGCACCAGTGACCGTGAGCACCTTTTTTCTCCCTCCCCCCCCCCCTTCCTGATATCAGACATCCGTCTGCAGCGAGAGGGAAGCGCCGCGGCGACACACTGACACACTTTGCTCAGACGAGCCAGAAAAACTCTCCAGAAACCTCGTCTGATGCAACACTGGCCTACTTCTGCTTCCACGAGCTCGCTGACGTTAAATCACAAACTCTAGCATCAGGCACAAGCTCTCCTCGTTACAGCCGCAGCGTTTCATATTTGTGATTAAGTGTGAGGTGGAGCAAAGATGGAAGGAAACCAAGTCGGTTTGGTCCTGCTTTGAGGTACTTTCCCATGAAGTCAGGGGGATTATTTTTCTGAAGTCATGCATGTGGGGTCAATATGGCTCCCAAAACACAAATTAATGCACTCGCATGTCTGAAGGATTTCAAAATAAGTGCTAAATGAGCAGAAAAATGAGTTTAAAGAATCTGAATGACATAGTGCTTTTCATCCATTTTCATTTGACACACCAAAACTAGAGATGCACAGATCCGATATTAATATCTGTATCAGTCCCGACATTGAAAAATGCCATAAGGGCAGATCTATTCAGTATTATTCTGCGCTTAGTGCTCTGAGTGACGCTGTGTTTTATATTTTATGTTATAATCTCCAATTTTACTTTCTGGAAAGAAGGTTTGCTGCAGTTTATGTCACCAAGTTTGTGGAGCTATTGGCGTATTAAAATGTGCGGCACTGGTGCACAGAAATCTTGTGATTTTGTAGTTTAGTACAATTATGGCTGGATTACAGAAATATTTTCAATCAATTCTGCAATGTTTTTCTGTATTTCATTGTTATCGAAAAATCAGATATTGGTATCGGTACCACAAGGGAAAAAAGTGGATTGATGCATCGCTAATCCAAACCAAACATTCAAATGTATTTTACGAGATTTTTAAGTTAAATGCCAAACAAAAAAATGTAGAGTGCTAGATTTTACATAACAATAAAAAAGGGGCTGTTTACATCTGAATGCGTGCCACACTTGTAAAAAAAAGAAGAAAAAAAGTTATGTATAATTTTCTTTCACTTCACAATTCTGCACAACTTTGTGTTGGTTTCTCTAATCATATCCCAGTGAAACCCATCGACGTTGGGTTGAAGGTTCGACCAGAGCGTTAAGACAAAGTTGAAAGGTCCATCAGTGGATGTATGTTATATATATTTTTCTGTCAGAAATTCTGTCTGGCACCATCGTGTACACGAATGCCGTTCAGACCGACAACTAAAAAGAAAGTCAGACTTGAGGAGCACAGAACAGAGCCTAGAGTCTCACTTTATGAGCCATTGTCCCGGGCCCTGCCAAACCCAGAGAACCGGTACCGCAGCATTATTTCTGTGAGGGGTGTAATGCAGAGATGATTAGAAAGACGTTTGCGTGGAGTTGGCATGTTCTCCCTGTGCGCATGCGTGCGGTTCTCGCCAGGTACTTCAGCTTCCTGCTACAATAACATGACTGTCGGGTTGATTGGTTTCGCTAAAATCACTCGGTGGGTCTCTGTCTTGCCGTGGTGACCCGACCGGGATGCGTCCCGCTGGTGGAGATAGTAGACTTGAAGTTTATATCTTTAAGTCGTGTCACTATAAAGATAAAAGTGGCGATGAAAACTATTTGTTGCTCCACTTTTCGGAAACTGCGTGACACAGCAGTGACATACGAAACTGTGCTCTGTATCACCTCACTGTCCGATGTAACTGCAGCTGATCATATTTCTACGTCTATTGATATTTATTGATCCTCTCATTGAACAAACAGCAGATAAAAATAGTAAAAATATTGATCCAACAACACAGTTTTGTGTAGTTGGTGAAACGTCACCAACTAACTCGTTAAGAAAAAATTCTTACCATTACAAGAAATTTATCACAATAAATGATAAACGATACGATGATAGGCATCGGCTCCTTTGTGACTGGAAAATGGATTTATTGATAATTGTACTAATTTTAACTCTATTGGCTCTGATCAGTAAACTGCAGGGTTTTTTTTTTCTTTCTTTCATATTCAAATTAATTGTACCAAACAAAGAACTCCCACAATTCCCGGTCAATCAACCAGAGAAATCCAGGGGACTCGTTTGGGTTTGGCTTAATTAAATAATCGACTAATACAACTTTACCTGGAAGTCTAAGTGTTTCTGTGAGATAGCGAAGCAGAGCTAATTTTCCCTTCCATGCCCCGATGATTGAAGTTACAGCTCCACTGAGTGAACTGATTGCTCCGAGATGCGTTGTTCATGTCCCCCAGCAGTGGTTTCGCTTAATACCCTTTTAATTTCCTCTGAAGGTTTTCTCAATGGCTCCCTCATTCATGCTTTGTGGCCTAGCAAGCTGCTGCAGCCGCCGCCGCTCGCGTGCCGAGCCGTCGGTGAGGGAAGGCATCGGGGTGTTTGAGGACGGAGACACAAGGCTGGTCATTGACCGAGGTCACGCGGGAGGTCGGCGTAGGAACCCAGACTGGGCGGTCAGTCCTGTGTCAGGCAGGGAAACCACGACGACACATCCTGAAACAGTGGCTCTGTCCACTGTTTGGTCTATGAGAGTTTTGAAAACGTGAGTAAATGCAGCTGCCGTGGGCCGTTGAGTGATGCAAATCCCACTTTTGTATGCTGCTGTCCTAAAGAAACGGACAGAATGTTTTTCGAGAGCAGCGCTTGCGTTTGTGGGGGTGATGCTGCTGCACCGTGCAGTTGCTGAAAAAGTAGCAGAAAACAGTTCTGAAAATATTGCGAAAAGACTCCATTATCGCCCATAAAGACCTGCTTTAATTGGTCCTTTCCTCCTGAAACAAAATGTGTCTTTTTTTTCCTGCTACCTGAAAAATGTAAGAAAAACAAAAACAAAAAATCTCATTGGAATGTGTTTGCTCCACCCCCTCAGGTCTCACTCGCCTTTACGCCTGATGTTTTCTGACAAACTAGATAAGTGGATGGAGGTAAAAAAAAAAAGAAGCAGCGACGCAACACCGGAAAGCAAGCAGGCGAGACGATGGAGAAATGTATTGTTGTGAGAATTCAATGCAACTGGACGGAGGTGCATCTGTTGCCTTCGCTCACAAGAAACCAACACGCCTCAACAGCAAAAAGCAAACGGCACGCTGGAAACTATTGGCTCGTTCGTGCCATTCAACCACTATACTAGATTGTACGAAGCCTCTTTTGGTTCCTGCTTTTGTTTGTCTCTGACCTTTTCTGCAAACGTCACTGTGCTGGCAGTCCAGCGTGAAACCCCTCCTCCTTTGTGCTGACTTGTGTAACAGGCTGTAACTGTAACTTGTGTATACAGTAGTGTTGACTGTCCATTAATGTGCACTGTCGTTATTAAAGATTAAAGGCCACAGCTCTTCTGTTTTCAGATCCCATGTCGGTCGCCTCGCCTCGTCTGCTTTCCTGTGAACAACTGCGGCGACGCGGACGTGTTGCCTGAGCGTCTGATCTGTCAGTCAAGCCTGCAATTGTCTCTGAAGGTCGAAGGTCAAACTTTGCTTTCTCTCATTTTCATCACCTGTCCAATGAGTTGCCGTTACAAAAGTGA